GCCAGGAGGGCCCAACGCAAACGGAGGGCGGGGCCGGGCAGGGAGGGGAGGGCCCACCCGCACGCGGGGCACCTTTGCCGATGAGGAGGCTGATCTGTGAGTTGACAAGCTTCTTCACCCTGTCACCCTCTCGGGCCACCAGGCGCAGCACCGGCAGGAAGGGCTGGATGTCACACAGTCGCCGCTGCTCGTCCTCCAGCTCCTGCTGCTCCGCGGTCTGGTTGACGCAGGTGAACACGTAGGCCTCAGGGTCGCTGAGCATGTGGAAGAGTGGCTCATACTGGGCGCGGTGCCACAACACCTGAGGGGACAGTGGCCGGTCAGCCCCTCCGACCAAAGTGAGCGGGGCCACGGGGAGCCGGGAGGTGGCTGGAGGCTGACCTCAGTCTGGGTGTCCCTCCCCTGCACGACCCTGCCCTCCCCAGACCCCTAGAGCACCGCATGGGTCACCATCCCTGCCCTTCTGTGGAAGGTGCCTGGTATTCGCTAAAGTCCTGTCCACAGTCCCCCCTGTATGTTACCCTTGAGAGACGGCCAGCCAGACATGACCTCCAGCTAATAGTCCTGGGGTTCATCACCCTGATTTCTAAATGTTGGCAACTAATTCAGAAAAGGCAAACAACTGAGAGAGCCATAAAACCCTCCATGGGCTGTGTTCAGCTAAGGCGGTCAGTGTGTGGCCTCAGGGCAAGGTGTCCCCAGGGTCCCCTGAGAGAGCCATCTAATAGTCAAGCTTTACTGCAAAACTGTTCACCACTGAGTCACAGAGAAGATGGGAAAGGAGCCCTATTTTTCTTCCACGGGGGACGGATAATTATGGTCCATCAGCACAAAGGGATTGGTACAGGGACATGACCCAGAATCTAGGGACACAAGACACACGGTGAGTGGGAAAAACAAAAAACAAAAAACCCCAAGGTATAGAGCAGCAGATCTAATTCAAGCCCATGTCCATAAAAACAACTCTAATAGGGGCACCTGGGTGGCTCAGTCAGTTAAGCGTCGGCTCCAGATTTCCGCTCAGGTCTTGATCTCACGGTAGTAATTTCGAGTCCCAAGTTGGGCTCTGTGCTGGGTATGGAGCCTACTTAAGATTCTCTCTCTCTCCCTCTGTCCCTCTCCTGAGCTTGTGCTCTCTCTCTCTCTCTCTCCCTCTCTTAAAAAAAAACAAAAACCACAACTCTAATAAACAGAGTGATTAGTATAGACCAGGATTCGACAAAAGTGACTGGTTTGCAGGCAAAACCTGGTCTGCTCCCAAGTTATTAGAAGACAGCCACGCCCACTCATTTACATATTGCCTGGGGCTGCTCTGGGCCTCCGTTGGCAGAGTTGAGTGCTTGCGACAAATATCAGATGGCCAGCAAAGCCTAGAATATTTACTCTCTGGCGTCTGGTATAAATAAAAGTATGAAGGAACTGAAGTCAAATCGGGGTGTGTGCAGCGCCCCACGTGTTTTGCATTTCTGCAGTGTGGGAATTGTAGTAGCTCGCATGCCTGGTTCAGAGAGATAAGACTACCCTTCAAGTGAAATTTACATAAAGTTAACTCACATGAAAAAGATGTTATAATGTTAACTGAGAAAAAAAAAGAGATCTCAAAGTCCGTAATCAGAATTATCACAAAAAGCAACACTCCGCAGAAAAGAAAACAGTAAGCAGCCAAACTGTTAACTGTGGTTGTCTCACAAGGGCTGGATCACAGGTGACTTTTTTCCTTTTTCTGTTTTTTTCCCGTTTTCCTAAATCAATGCGTCCATATTACTTTTGAAATGGAAAACAAATTTTTTTTTTTTTAATTTTTAAAGGAACCTCCCAGGAAGGGGAGATTGAGAAACAAAAACCAAACAAAAATTCCAAGATGGTCCCTTGCTTCTCTCCCTTTTTTGTGTGTGTTCAACTCCCAAGTATAGCTTTTAAAATTCTGAGCTGAGGTCTTGCTCTGTGGCGTGACCCATTAAATCCCACACTTGGTAAGTGGGATAAGCCCTTTGAAAGATCACAAGACAACATCTACCAAATACTTTCCAGATGTCTAACCCTTTGACTCAGTAATCCACCCGGACAATTATTCAACAAAAACTAAAAACTATTTCCAAAGATGATGTTTACTGAGATGACAGCTCTAAAGAGAGAAGACAGATAAGACTCTTTTAAGTGGCCTTGGATGGGGTGTGGTTCCGAAAAATGATGGCACAGTCATGGACAGAAGGAAAGGCCACCATGGGAACCACACCCTGAAGCTCTCACTGGAATCTGGTGAGTGTAATCGTGCACTGATAAAGGGGGAAGCTGAACTCAAAATGCTAGCTGGGCACTAACTGTAAGCGTTTATTATTATTTTTTAATGTTTATTCATTTTATGAGAGAGACAGACAGAGTGGGAGCGGGGGAGGGGCAGAGAGAGAGGGAGACACAGAATCTGAAGCAGGCTCCAGGCTCCGAGCTGTCAGCACAGAGCCTGATGCGGGGCTCGAACTCCCAAACCATGAGATCATGACCTGAGCCGAAGTCAGATGCTCAACCAACTGAGCCACCCAAGGCGCCCAGGATCGTACCTTCTTGATGGTGCTGAGGTTGGCATTCCGGGACACAGGGAAGTTCAGATAGACCCCCGTGGGCAGCAGGAAGTCAACTGCCACACTCTGATTCTCCTCCTTGGTCCAGAATTCCATGGGGCAGTCAACCCCAGGGGGCATCCTGTTCTTTCACTCCAAAGACACCGGCTGTCCTGAAAAGGAAGAGAAGGCAAAATGAGGCACCCTAAGGGTGCTGGATGAATCCTTTGAAGGGATCCTTTGGAAAACAGATTGTCAGGACCTTTGGCAGTGGGATGTTCAGGAAGGAGTCCCTCCCGTGGGTGCCCAAAGCTCGCCTCCCTCTGGACTTCGTCCTGCCTGGGGTGGCTTGTGGCTCCTACTGTCCCCAGACCCCATCTCATCCATCATCACAGGTGGGCACTCACTCTGTCTGCATCCCTCACCGCAGTGGCCCAAACTCAAGACACCAACAGACCCGTTCCAAATCATTTTTTCTCAGGAACACATGCACAAGTGGGAGACCCGGCCACAGCCACCAGCTGGCAGAAACGGGGGATGGCAGGGTCCCTGGTCAGACAACCCAGGACTCAAGAAGGACCAGGGGCTGCAGTTCTTTGAGACTTTCTAACCAGAAACCAAGTGGTTTAAAAATGGCTTTGGCCATCAAACAATTTGTTGAAATATCTCAGTCATACCAAACGCCCCCAGTCATACCCACTCTTCAGTAACAAAATGCTGTAGACACAGTTAAAGATCTTGTATCTCCCCTGCTCCAGGTTGTCACTACCTGCATTCTGGTTGGTTATAATTTCCGTGCATGTTTTTATACTCTTATTACATTAGTATGTATCCATGAAAAATTGCTAATATCTGTGCGTGCTTTCGAACTTTCTATGAATGGCGGGTCTTCTGCAATCTCTCTGCCAGTCAGCATTCTGTTAGTTAGGTTTATCCACACTGATACATGTAGCTCAAGTTCATTCACCGGAACCCCTGTGGTATTCACTGTGTATATAAACCACAATTTATTTACCCCTTCTCCTGTTGATGAACCTCAGGGTTTGTTTCTAGTCTTTTTGGTTATTACAAACAATGCTACAATGCATATCGTTATACACCTCACTTTGTGTATATGTAGAGTCTGGGTGAGTGCTGTCCAAGAGAAATACAATGGGAACCACACGGGCAATGTCAAAGTTGCCAGCAGCCACATTTAAAAAAAGCAAAAAGAGGGGCGCCTGGGTGGCTCAGTCGGTGAAGCGTCCGACTTCGGCTCGGGTCATGATCTCGCGGTTCGTGGGTTCGAGACCCGCGTCGGGCTCCACGCAGACAGCTCGGAGCCTGGAGCCTGCTTCCAGATTCTGTGTCTCTCTCTCAATCTCTCTCTGCCCCTCCCCTGCTCATGCTCTGTCTCTCTGTGTCAAAAATAAATACATATTTAAAAAATTAAAGGGGTGCTTGGGTGGCTCAGTTGGTTAAGCGTCCGACTTCAGCTCAGGTCATGATCTTGCAGTTTGTGAGTTCAAGCCCCGTGTCAGGCTCTGTGCTGATGGCTCAGAGCCTGGAGCCTGCTTTGGATTCCGTGTCTCTCTCTGCCTGTCTCCTGCTTGCTCGCTCACTCTCTCTCTCTCTCTCTCAAAAATAAATAAATATTTTTTAAAAATTAAAAAAAAATTTTTAAGTAAAAAGATAAAGTTAAGCTTAGTGATATGTTTTATGTAACCCAATATATCCAAAGTATAGTCACTTCAAGACGTCATCACAAAAAAAAGAATTACTAATGAGATATTTTACACTTTTTTTTTTTTTTTT